TATAGATAAATATTTTTCATTTGTGGGAGAGTGGGGCTGTCAAGAGGTATTTCAATTCTGCAAAGGACTGTATCACGTTTGAGAGGACAGAAAGATAGTATAGCAAGATTTTGTTATAAAATTTGGCTGCTAAGCATGCACATTAAAAATAATTTCAGGCTGTGTGTGGTGGCTCATGCCTGTAATCCCAGCACTTTGGGAGGCTGAGGCAGGCGGATCACAAGGTCAGGAGTTCCAGACCAGCCTGACCAACATGGTGAAACCCTGTCTCTACTAAAATACAAAAAATTAGCTGAGTGTGGTGGTACACGCCTGTAATCCCAGGTACTCAGGAGGCTGAGAGAGGAGAATCGCTTGAACTCGGGAGGCAGAGGTTGCAGTGAGCCATGATCAGGTCACTGTACTCCGGCCTGGGTGACAAAGTAAGACTCTGTCTCAAAATAATAATAATTATTATTATTATTAACATTATTATTTCAGGCCAGGCACCTCCTGTAATCCCAGCACTTTGGGAGGTCAAGCAGGCAGATCACAGGGTCAGGAGTTTGAGACTAGCCTGGCCAATATGGTGAAACCCTGTCTCTACTAAAAATACAAAAATTAGCTAGGCATGCTGGCATGTGCCTGGGAGGCTTCTTGGGAGGCTGAGGCAGAAGAACTGCTTGAACCCAGGAGGCAGAGGTTGCAGTGAGCTGAGAATGTGCCACTGCACCCCAGCCTGTGCAACAGAGCAAGACTCCATCTCAAAAAAATAAGAATAATAATTTCAGGGTAACAACTAAAAGAATAGAAGTAAACCTCTGTTAGAGAAGAGAAAATGTAACTGCAAAAACATTCCCAACTTGACAATAAACAGAAACAAGAAAAAAGAGAAAGGTTAATAAATAGAAAATACAAAATAAAACAATTGTGTCAGTAATCGCACTCATTGTAATCATATTTAACTCACTTATTAAAAGACAAAGATTATAGAAACAGATTTTGGGTCCCATATTTTTATTGAAAAAAAAAAAAGAACCCGATATGCTGCTTAAAAGAAGCTACTCAAAATAAAGTTACAAAGTATCTGCAATCTTTTGTTTCTGAAAAAAAATACAGAGAAAGATATACCAGGAAAATGGTAACCAAAGGTAGCTGGCCTGGCAATACTACCAACAGATGAAACAGAACATAAGGGAAAAGGTTAAAGAAGGACACATTTTAATGATAAAAGCGACAGTCATCAGGAATAGACAACAATCAAGAACTTGGATACACCCAACAACACACTCAAAATACCAGCAAGTATTAACAGATACTGATGATTTTAACAAATCCAAATCCACTGTAATTAAAAACTGATAGATCACACAGTCACAAAATAAGTCATAAAATTAATAGAGATGGTTTGAATAGCATGATTAGTGAAGTTGAACTAATTCATGTTAACAGAACCCTCTGTCAACAGAGAATACATTTTTTTAGCACTTTTTGTGGAGTATTAGTCTAAAAACTGACTACATACCTGGCCACCAAACAAGTTGCAACAAACATTTTTTAAAAAATCAGTAGCAAAGGCATCAAAGAAATTCAATAGGGAAGAATAGTCTTTGTAATAAGTGGAGCTGGAAACAACCAGACATCAATATGGTGGGGTGGGGGGGGGTCAGCCTTGACACCCATATCACACCATACCTAAAAATCAACTTGAGATAGATTATAGATCTAAAATAAAAGTTAAAACAATAAAGTCTCTGGAAGAAAACAGGAAATTATCTTCCTGATCTGGGAGTAGGTAAAGATTTTTAAAGCACAGAAAGCAATAACCATTTTTTAAAAAGTGTTATTAGACTGCTTCAAAATGAAAAATTATTATTTAAAAGCCAGAGTTATGAAAATGAATAAAAGAGCCACAGATTGGGAGAAAATGTTCTCAAATCTGACCAAGGAGTTGTAACAAGAATATATAAAGAACTCATACAACTCAATAACTTTTAAAAATTAACCCAATTGAAAAATGAGGAGAAAACTTGACCAAACGCTTCACAAAAGAAAATAGAGGAATGGCCAATGAACAAGTAAAAAAGTTCTCACCATTGGTCATGGAGAAACACAAATTTAAATCACAATAAGATAATACTACTCATCTACCAGAGTAGCTAAAATGAAAAAGAATCACAACATCAAATATTATCAAGGATTTAGAGTAAACAGAAATTTCATATTGCTTGTATGAGTGTAAAATGGTACTTTGGGAAAAGGTCTAGAAGTATCTTAAACTAAACACACCATTGTTCCGGAGGTTTTAGCCAGGGCAATTAGGCAAGAGAAAAAAAAAAGGCATCCATATTGTGACATGATCTTGTGTATAGAAAATCCTATGCAATTTCTATGGGATTTCCTTAGGATTATAGGAATTTAATCCTATAATACATAATCCTTAGGATTTTAAGAATTTCTATATTCACAAAAAACTAACACATGAGTTCAGCAAGGTTGCAGGATACAAGATCCTGCAAAATGGAAAGATATTTCATGGTCACAGACTGGAAAACAAAATTGTTAACATAGTAATACTCCTGCAATTGATCTACAGATTCATTGCAAACCCTATCAGAGTCCCAGCTGGCTCCCCAAAATGTCCCCCACTGAAATGGACAAAATGGTCCTAAAATTGATACAAAGATACAAGGGACCAGATAGTCAAAATAATCTTGAAAAATAAGACTAAAGTTGGAAGGCTCACACTTCACAACTTCAAAACTTACTACAAAGTTACAGTAATCAAGACAGTGTGGTGCTGGCATGAGGAGCGACATATAAATCAATGGAATAGAACTGAGAGTCCAAAAGTAAAGCCTCACATTTATGATTGATATTTGAGAAAAATGCCAAGGCAATTCAATGAGGGAAAGATGAATACTTTTTAACAAATGATGCTAGGACTAGACAAAAATGAAGCTGGACCTCCTACCTCACACTATAAACAAATATTAATCCAAAATGGATCATACAGCTAAATATAAGACCTAAAACTATAAAACTCTTACAAGAAAACAAAGAAATCAACGTTTACAACCTCAGCTTAGGCAACGAATTCTTAGGCATAACACCAACTGATGAATGAAGAATGATGCCTATAGCACAATACCTTTCAACGAGAACTCAAAAGCATTCAAAACAAATGTACATATTATGAATGGACACATACATACTAAGAGTGAGTATACAAATATATATCATAGTGGTTGCTTTAAGAGGGGAAAGGAAGGGGTAGCAGAGGGATAAGTAAAGGGCTTAAACAGTATCTACAATCCTTTGTTTCTGAGAAAAACTCTGAAACAAATAGGACATACCATTAATATTTGATAGAAGTGGGTGTCTGGTACACACATGTACCTTTACGAATATGTGAAATATTTTAACATCTGACAACTTACATTTTTAAAAGAATGAGACATCCTTATCATGAGCATTCATTGTCAGTGCAGTAAAGGGCAAAAATGAAGGTAAATGAAATCGATCTAAAACCATACTAATCCCAAAAAGTATTCTGGAAATTGCTTTGAGAATAAGACCTTGATATCAACTCCTTTATTTGTTATTGCCTTTATTCAAAATTGGAGTACAAAGGACATGGCTCAGAATGATTACTGAAATTTTCCATTTGCTTGTATTCTATACAAATAGTTGTGGCTGGTGTTTATTTTTCTCTGTCTCTCTGTTCCTAAATTTGTTTTCATCAAATTTTCCCAAGCTAAATCTCTTCCTTTTATTTTTTTTCCCTTTCCCTAGATTTGCATTTCTTTTTCCAAGCAACTATAAAACATTATTTTCTTTTTCCATTTGCTCATAAATCAAATAGCACACTTCCTTGCTTGGTTTTTCACTTTCATCTATATGTTGGTTGGCTTCTTTACATCTTTCCTGCATCTTTACTTGTCTCCATGTATGAGACGAGATTCCAGGTGCTAACAAGCTACAGTTTTTACAAGGAGGAAGTTAACTTATTTAGGCCTAACAGGATGGCTTGTATGCAGATAAGGATTTGGAAATTATTTAAAAGGGTACAAACTCCATTTTCGTATGTTTCTCTCAAGGGGGCACAGGAACCCGGAAGGGCTGCAAGGACAGAGTTGCTGCTATTATTAGAGTGAAGTCAATCCTACAGGCAGTTGGGCCTTATATCCTTAGACACCAGTTCCCGCTGTGTTACAGAGCCTGGGAGGCTGTTTGGCTTAAGTCGGATGGAAGATGGAAGGGAGCATTTTATCATCTTCTATTCTCATTCCTATACAACAGCAACAGCTATCATTTATTGAGCATCTTCTCAATTAAGGATAACTGCCAGGGAATGTTCTAGGCACCCTATGCTATCTCATTTAACTTATAATTCCCCAAGGCATAATCATCTCCGTTTTGCAGACAGGACACTAAGTCAGAGGAGTGAAGCAATATATGCAAGGTCACACAGCTGATTAAAGGCAGAGCCAAGATTCCCACCCAGTTGTGACTCATGGCAAAACCCAGCCCTTCACCATTTCATCGCATCTTCCCTTCTGGCTGCAGCAGGAGGTGGAGCAGACTAGTTTTGGGGTGGAAGAGTTGTTCTTACAATTCACCATGCGATCTATCCATCATATTTATACTCAAAATGGGGAAATGTTTAGGTCTTCAAGAAAACAATTTGAATCAGGCTGGGCACAGTGGTTTACACCTGTAATCCCAGCACTTTGGGAGGCTGAGGAGGTGAGGAGTTTGAGATCAGTCTGGCCAGCACAGTAAAACCCCATCTCTATTAAAAATACAAAAATTAGCCAGGTGTGCTGGCACACACCTGTAATCCCAGCTACTTGGATGGCAGAGGCAGGAGAATCGCTTGAACCCAGGAGGTAGAGGTTGCAGTGAGCCGGGATTGAGCCACTACACTCCAGCCTGGGCAACAGAGTGAGACTCCATCTCATAAAAAAGAATAGAAAAGAAAGCAATCTGAGTCACAAGGCTGAGTAAAGGAGGCGTACCTGAATAGGGTCCTGCGTCAGTCTCATGGGCCCGATGCGCACCTCCGCAGAAGTCACCTGCTAAATAAAGGACAGCACAAGAGAATTGTCAAGTCTTAAACTACACAAGCAGATACATCCTTCCTTACACAACACATTGCATTATGCCACTGTGTGCTCTAAACTGAAGAATCCAACTTACTGAGCTGGAGATGGGTTACTAAGCATCATATATAACATAACATGTATAACATGATGCTGTTTTTGCAAAAAAAAAAAGTATATATTTATATGCATTGGAAATGTCTTTAAGGATACATCCCCAAATGCAAAGTGGTTGGGTTATTTTTACTAGAAGTGCCTCTATTTTTATAATAAGCATGTACCATTTTATGGTAGGAAACAATTCAATTCAATAATTATTTACTGAGCACCTACTATGTGCTGGTCACCATGCTAAGGCCATTATTACTCTGAAATTTCAAAAGAGAATAAAAATTTCTCTCAAATCTCAAAGCTAAATCATAACTATGGCTTAAGAGCGTTTCCTATATTTAGATCCTGTTTTTCTTATCTTCACGCTTTACTACGAGGGGTAAGCAGCCTAGTCTCCCTCACATTTACCATGGATAAATTATTCATCTCAGTTGTATTTCCACAAATAAACTGAGCAACACCACACCGTGACCACAAGAGACTTGTCCCTGCTCCACGACTCCAGAAGCTAGCCTAGGGCTCTTCGGTGTTCACCAGCCAACACCATCTGGCTGCTTTTGGCAAGCAGTTAGATGGACGCAAGCATAAAGCAAATATTCGTCTTTCTTTTTAATTACTTTACTTGGATTTCTAAAAATAACTTTTCTCTAGACTAATTTGGTTGAAGGTCTTGGCCCCACCTCCATGGATCCAATTTTGCTTTTCTCTAAGAGACTGTGGTCATTTGCCACTATTGGAAGCATGTCCTGCATGCCACACTGTGTACTGCCCCATGTCAGTCTGAAGGAGTGCCATCAGCACGCAGCAGCATTTACATGACCAGAGACACTTGCAGTGACCCAAGGGTCATAGGAGGCTTTGCAGTTATAAGAAAAAAACAAGAAAAACAAACTTTCTTTACATTGTACTTTGCAAGACTACAATAATTTCCCTTTCTCCTTTCTTCCCCTTTCCCCAAGCTTAACTTTTGGCGCTGGTGCTATGAACCCTCTCCAAAGACCAGTCTTCTTCTCCACTGTAGGGCGGATTCTCCCACCCCACCCCAACACGGCAATGTAAAGAACTAATGCAGGGTGCTCAGGCCTCTCACCAAACCAACCAGCAGAAAACTCAAAGAGCCCTCTAATGACTGTTCATCTGAGGCCCTGGCCCTCCGTGGGGGGTTCTCAGGAGGGCAAGGCTGCCAGTCCTGCTCCACCTGGGGAGGCAGCCTCCTCAACCGTGGATCCACTCAGCAAGCCTGGCACAATGAAAACCAACCAGAGGCCTCGAGTCCCTGAGCCTGTGAACAAGTTCCTTCAGTGTTTCACTGCTGTGTTCAGGCCAAAGCGACAGGGTCACGTTGAGTGACCTCTTGCTCTTCTTTTCTCTAAGCAAGTTAGTATCCTGCAAGGTGTGGGTGCTGACACCAGCAGCCTATGTGCACAGCCCCCAGAGCAACTCCACCAGGAGAGGACCAGCACCAGGGCCTCCTGTGTCACTGGGCTGCCGGCCCTTCGCCCAGCTCCACTCCCATGCCAGTTTTTGTTATTGAAATAGACACTCTCCTTCCAAAGTTGTGCAACTGCAAGGACTCTTTTTACAAAGTTAATGATTAAAAAGGGAAGCCAGCTGAACGTGGTGGCTCTTGCCTATAATCCCAGGATTTTGGGAGGCTGAGGTGGGTGGATAACTTGAGGTCAGGAGTTCGAGACCAGCCTGGCCAACATGATGGCACCCCATCTCTACTAAAAATACAAAAATTAGCCAGCTGTGGTGGTAGGTGCCTATAATCCCAGCTACTTGGGAGGCTGAGGAAGGAGAATGGCTTGAACTTGGGAGGTGGAGGCTGCAGGGAGCCCAGATCATACCACTGTACTTCACCCTGGGCAGCAGAGTGAGACTCTGAAGAAACACACAACAACAACAAAAATGTAAAACCAATTTAGTATATTAAGATAAATTTGATTGATAAGCCAAGGTATCTTTTCACTTGCCCTGTGATCTCTCCTGAGTTCACTGCCGCCACACACATAGAAGCTCCCCTCCAACAAGACCATCTGTGAATTTCTCCAGCAAAATTAGGCTCCGAAGAAATCATTCAGTGGCAAAAAATGAAGTAATGAATAAAATCATAAATAAAAGTTCAAAAGGAATCAAATAAAAAGCTACTCACATTGGAAGTCCAAGAGATAGGGAAGGACTCTTGCAAGAAGAGCACAGGTTGTCCAAAATATAATTCACCCCTAACCAATACATGCCTGTACACTTTTTTAAAATTATTTATTTTTTGAGACGGAGTCTCACTCTGTCGCTGGAGTACAGTGGTGCTATCTCAGCTCACTGCAACCTCTACTTCCCAGGTTCCAGTGATTCTCCTGCCTCAGTCTCCCAAGTAGCTGGGATTACAGGTGCCCATCACTATGTCCAGCTAATTTTTGTATTTTTAGTAGAGACAGGGTTTCACCATGTTGGCTAGGGTGGTCTTGAACTCCTGACCTCAGGTGATCTGCCTGCTTCAGCCTCCCAAAGTGCTGGGATTTACAGGCATGAGGCACCATGCCTGGCCACCTGTATACTTTTCTAAATAATCAATATGTGCATGAAGTGTTGATACAGCTAACCTTACACGGTGGGCTGATGGGGAGGGGCAGGCGATTTTCAACCCTACCAGGAGAATGTCTGATGACTGTGAACATTCCTTAAGCCCCTCTGACCCAGGCGTTGTGCCAGGTACATTCACACCTATAATCCTAGCAGCAGACAGGCAACAGCCACTGAACCACAGCATGGAGTTTTAAAAGCAGCTCTCAAGCTAGAAGATAATCATTTTTCTTCCTAAGGGCAGGAAAGACCCTATAACTTTCTCTCATAGCCACTACAGTTCTCTTCCTGCCATCCAGCATTCTAACTCTTGCCTGACCCAACCCAGCAGGAAGGTGAGCTGTGAGCTGGTGGGAGGAGAGCAGAGCTTGGAAGAGGGGCTGTCAAGCTGCTGCTAAGGGACCTTGTCCAAACCCCTGCCTCTCGCATCTCTACCATCCCTTGCCTCTCTCCTCCCAGCCCCACTTCACTGTGCTCCCTCCCATGTGCTGTCACTCTACCTCCACTGCTGGCGTGCGTGCCTCAGTTTACCAGCTCCTCTAGTCCTGACCCATACTTTGCCTCGTGTCTCTGGGCTTGCTTTTTCCTTATTGGTCTGTGCTCCAAGTCATCTGGCCTTGGCTTCTGTGTCCAGAAGAGGTCAATTGTCCCCCAAAAAACACTGGAACTTGTTCTTTCCGGTTCTGAGGGCTGGAGCTAGGCAGTGACCAGCAGGAAAAAAAAAAAAAAAAAAAACCTGCAGCAGGTATATGCACAGACAGCGGTTTGCAGAGTTCTGCTTCTGACACAAGCGTCTAAGTGCCTGCATTTCACCAATTTATAAAACAGCAATTATGAACAGAAACAGGAGATCATTTACCGACATCTGTGTAGCCAGGCCAACATTCTTTACTTCGAAAAGTGAACTTTGAGCAACTGCAGATGCATGGAATCTTCAATTAGTGTATGAGCTCTGATTCCAGGAAGTGACCAAGTTTGCCAGGGTCAGAGAAATATAAGCAAGGGTGGGGGCATAGGTAACATGATTCTAGCACTTGAGAAGAGGGGAGGATGGGACCAGAGCATGAGGAGAGACACACTTCCTAGCCACATGGGTTTCCCTAATAGACTAATGAGGAAAGATTGCTGAACTACAGTGTAGTTTCAGCTGTGCTGTACAACATTCGTGGTGTGTCAAATATTTGTGTGTACATGTGTGTGAATGGTGACATGTGTGTGAATGGTGACATACACACATATACACACGTAAGCAGGGTTCCACTCACCTTCACATGGAAAAAAAAAAAAAAAAGAAAACCTGAGTACTATTTTGTAGCATTTGCTGACTTCTGTGGTATAAATTATCATGGTTGATCTCAAGCTGGCAACTTGGGTCCATGACTGCAAAATTAGGAATACATCTTTTCATTCAGAGAGGGTCTATGAGTGGCAAAGTCATTCAGTCTTTGTTGATCTGTAAATATCTATCACTCACTTTTGTTTGAAGTTTGGCTGAATATAGAATTCTGGTTGAGAGAGAGGAGATAATAATTCTGGTGTGGGAGGTGGGGCGATCAAGGAAAGCTTCATGAAGGCAGGCAGGTCGTGAAGAATAAGGGGATGAAGAGATTGGGTTGGGGAAGGAGATTCTAGGCATAGGGAACAGCACAGGCACAGGCACGGAGGCAGGAAAGCAAAGGTGCTGGTGGGGAGAAAACCAGCGTCCAGAGAGCTGGATTGCAGTGTGTGAAAGGCTCAGGTGGGAAGGTGGGGGTCAGATCCTCAGAGGAAACAGGAAGGAGTTCCCTTTTTTAATCTCTAAGCACCAATCACATTGCAAGTGTTTGAGCAAAGGATTAACATAATCAGATCTGTGACTTGGGAAAATCAAACATTGGCTTGCCCACTTTCTGAACCACCAAGACGAGGGATTTAGCAAAAACTAAACAAAAACACTGCTGTGAGTAGGAGCTACAGCAATGAAAGCAAGTGGGAAAATACATTGCAATGATCAAGAAAAAAGTTACAAGAAAAAAACCCCAGCTTGGCTGCACTTCAATAAAAAGGGAACTCCAAGATTCAACCCAGCTGGTGCAGGGTAGGCAGATGGAAGAGGCAAACTCACAAGAGAAATCAAGGTAGTTCAGGTTGGTTGATTCGCATGTCACGCCACCACATTCTCTAGAGGCGATTGCTGCAGCTCTTAGTAGTTTCAGCTTCAGAAATTTTGTTAAGTAACTTGGCATAGAGTTTTAGAGCCTTCCTCAGACAAGAGGGAAGCTAAGGATTCGGGAAGGAAAGCA